CCCACCCCCTCTCCCCACACTGTGCCACTTCACCCTTGTCTGCCACCCTCGCCTGCTTTTGCCACTTCCTCACTCCTTTTCACCACCTATTTCACCAAACCTCGCCTCCACCACTTCCTGCACTTCACCCTTCCCTCCCATCGCCTATCCCCCTTCTCACCCCTCCACCCTCCCACTCTAACAACTCCTCCCTCCCTCATTCACGAGCCCTCTATGAAAGGTGGTAAAGCAAACTCCCCACTCCTGTTCCATTTCTTGCTGTCAGGGTTCGTATCAGGCAGTTTATCTGCTATGCCCTGATTTGAATTTGCAGAACAGACCTGACTGGGCCAAATGACCTGTTGAAGCTGGTGAAAGGGATCAGATTTGTTTATTATGAGATCAATGGTGACAAAGTGGGGTAGTACTAATGTGGGTTCAGCACAGTTTCAAGAAAGAACAGATGCATTCTGTTTGATATCCTGGAAATATATACTCTTCAACTAACATCTCTTTCTAAAAAAAAACAAAAACAGAACTCTGCAGAAGGATTACTTGACCCGAAACATTAACTCTGATTTCTCTCCACAGATGCTGGCAGACGTGCTGAGCTTTTCCAGCAATTTCTGTTTTTGTTTCTGGTTTACAACATCCGCATTTCTTTTGGCTTTTACTTTCTTAAAAAAAAGTTAACATGGTAATGGCCAAAATCTCTGGGAGCTTGCTGTGTGCATATTGGGACCTTTGTTTCATACAGTAGGTTATTAGCTGTAAAAGTGCTACAGGATATTACGGAAGGTTCTGTTTTCTCCCATTCCTTGTGTTTGACTAATGTCTCCTGCCACTTGGCTGAGGTACTGACAGTCCACTGGCATCGTCGCAGCAGATGGCTGTGTGAGAGCAGTGGTTTTTATCTCTGAGAGTTTCCTGGTTAATTGTATTGACTTTTTCTCACTGGATTTCCTCAGCTCAGTGAATCACCATGAATGCCATATTTGGGAGGAGGAAGACCCCGGAGGAAATGCTCCGGCAAAACCAGCGAGCTCTGAATCGAGCCATGAGGGAGCTGGACCGGGAGAAGATGAAGCTGGAACAGCAGGAGAAGAAAATCATCGCAGACATCAAGAAAATGGCAAAACAAGGACAGATGGTATGTGTGCAAAGAGGAATTCTTGTGGAGGGTCGATTTTGATTATGGAAATATAAGTTTGCTTTGTGGTGATCTGTATTGTTATGTGAACATGTCTTGGTAATCACTTAATTTAAAAAAAAATCATAAGATGTGGGTGTTGCTGCCTTCTTGAACCACTGCAAGCCATATGCTGTCAGTACCTCCACGGTACCATTCCAGGACTCTAACCCAGCAACACTGAAGGAATCGCGATATATTTCCAAGTCTGGATGAGGAGTTGTTTGAAGAGGAACTTGTAGGGGCTGGTATTCTCATGTATCTGCTGCCCTAGTCCTTCTGGAAGGAGATGGTCATGGGTTTGGAAAATGCTGTAGTACTTGATGTTAATCCTGTGGGATTATACAAAAAGTGTCTGTCATGGGGAATCTTCCCTCCTGATGACGCTGGTTATGCTAAAAATTTGCTGTTTATTTAGGGGAAGAGAACTGATTCGCAATTGGATAGAGTGCTGTTCTTTGCCCCCTTTAGAAGTTGTAAGTAGTTTAAGTTTGTGAATTTAATGCTGCATTTTTCTTTTTACTCTTTGATGTGATCTGGGTATTGCTGGCCAGGCCATCATTTGTTGTCCAATTGTCAACAGTCCTTGAACTGAGTGGTTTGCCATTCAGAGAGCTGTTAAGGCCCCGCTAATTGCTGTGGTCTGTTGCACACAGGTCAGTGGACATTAGTGAGCCAGGTGGCAACAATTGATAGTTGTTATCCCGTAAACTGTGGCAGGGATGTCTGAGACTATGTGGATCTAGGACACAGGTAATTGTTATTTGCTGAAAGGATCATTTGGGGAGGACTTTAATGTGTGTATATATTCAAGAAGCAAGTAACCAGTGGAGAAGTTGGTGGTGTGAGACTTGGAATAGAACTCTAACGAGTAAAGTTAGTGGAATTTAGGCCACAGTCAGATCGAGACCGAAGCATTGTGTGAATTATTACAGGAGCCGTAATGATGATGCGCAAGATTTGTACACTACAGAAAACTTATAAGGCTGGGGTCCCTTTACCTGGTGACCTTTGAGAGTCTGAAAGGGTCTGAGGCCCTCGGAGTAAAATAATCATCAAAAAAAATTCCATGTCAAGAGAAGCATCTTTCCACAGAGAGCAGAACGTGGAAGTCACTACCACAGGCAGTAAAAGTGAGGTGGATGGCAGAGATGCATTTAAGGGGAAGCTGGGTAAGGTCACGAGGGTGAAAGGAGTATAAAGATATGTGAATAGATTGAGGAAAAAGTAGGTTGGAGGAGGGCTGAAATGGAGCACCAACACCAGCACAGACCCATTGGGCTGAAAGGCCTGTCCCGGTGCAGTTTAAACCTGTTTGCCTCCTTTGTTACTATGAGTCATTCGAGACTTTGCTCAATGGGTGTTTCTTTTTACCAACCACTAGGATGCAGTTAAAATAATGGCGAAAGACTTGGTGCGAACGCGACGCTACGTGAAGAAATTCATCATGATGAAGGCGAACATCCAAGCTGTGTCCCTGAAGATTCAGACGTTAAAGTCCAACAACACCATGGCTCAGGCCATGAAGGGTGTCTCCAAGGCCATGGCCACCATGAATCAGCAGGTGAGGTGGCCACCTGTACTTTTCTATACTGCTGCAGTGGGCAGCATTGCATATATGTTCAGTTTTCACCACTGTTGTGTTATATAGAAGCGAATTTGCCATGCTCCGTGCTGAAAATTTGGCGATTTTGAGCTGGTAATTATTGTACACCATTCGTTTCTCACAGAAAAGAAGTTCCCTTGGAGGACCGTGAATGTTGTGGAAATTGTGGGCTGACTAAAATGATAGGCAGATGCTGGGTTGGGGCAGAAAGGGAAAGGAGAGAGAGAGAGAGATGCAGGGAGGGAAGGAGGTGTAGACATAGTACTGGAATGTTTAGATTTGTGTTTTCATAAACCCTTGAGTTGCAATGTGTTCATGGGATCGGATTGTTGTTGGCTAGGCTGGCCTTTCTTGTTCATTATGAATTTTCTAAAGGACAGTTAAGAGTCAACTATGTTGCTGTGGGTCTGGAGTCACATGTAGACCAGACTAGATAGTAACGGTAGATTTCCATCCCTAAAGGGCATGTGTGAACCAGATGAGTTCTTAATGACAGTCAAACATAGCTACCTCGTTTTGTTTTCCAGTATGTTTTTATTCCATTCACATTTCACAGTCTGCCATGGTGGGAATGAACCCATGTCCACAGACTGTTGAAATAAAAGCAAAATACTGCGAATGCTGGAAAACTGACATTAAAAACAAAGTGATGGAGTAACTCAGCAGATCTGGCAGTGACTGTGGAGAGAGAAACAGAGATAGCATTTCAAGTACTGTTCCAAAGAGGAGTCATTGGACTCAGTGTTCACTCTGTTTCTCTAAGGCACAGCTGCTGCTGAGTTTCCTCTCTTTAGTTTGATTTCCCTGGGATTCTGGATTACGAGGCCAGTGACGTTCACTGTGGGCCAGTGATGTTCACTCAGACATGAATTACATGGATGCAAACGATTGAAATGTCTTGCCTGGAATGAGTGCTGAAAAATGCTGGAAGTAAAGATTTACCAGCATTTGTGAACAGAAAAGCTGGGTTAAGGCAGTGTTTCCCAAACCTTAGATAACAAGGTGTAGAGCTGGATGAACACAGCAGGCCAAGCAGCATCAGAGGAGCAGGAAGGCTGACGTTTCGGGCCTAGACCTGTGTTCATCCAGCTCTACACCTTGTTATCTCAGATTCTCCAGCATCTGCAGTTCCTACTATCTCTGAGACAATTCTTTCCCAAACCTTTGCCACCATGACCCAATTCGATGCCCGAAGATTTTCATGATCCCTCAACGAGAGCAGTGGAGATGGGTGCTCTGCGATAGGCCAGATCTGTCTACAAGTGGAGGTGTGCACTCAGTCAGAGCTTCGTGGTGATGGTCATTCTGCTTCGGAACTTGCAACCCCAAAATTTCAACACTTGGTTTCCTGACCCCCCCTTTGGGAAACCCTGGGTTAATGACTGAAATGAAAACTCCACATCAGATGCATCCAAGTTATTCAATTATTTTCTCTGTGTGGATGCTGCGGGGAAGATGGCCTAGTGGTAGTATCACTAGACTATTGATCCCGAGACCCAGGTAAAGTTCTGGGAACTTGAGTTCAAATCCCACCATGGCAAATGGTGGAATTTGAATTCAATTTTTTAAAAAAAAGGGATGTGACTCTTGTATGTATTGTTGTATTGATCTCAGTCACTTTGGATTAAATTCAAATCCTGCAGACACTATAAATCTGAAGCTAAACATGAAAAAGTTGAAAACGAAACCTTAGCAGGTGATTGGGAGCAATTCTGCTTGGAAATGTATTGATCTGAAACATTAAGAACCAGGACCAGCAGTAGGTAATTCGGTCCTCGAACCTGCTCCACCATTTATTACGATTGTGGCTTATCACACCTCGGCCTCAACTCTTTCCTGCCTATTCTCCATAACCATTGTTAATTAAAAATCTCTATCTTCACCCTTAAACTTACATAGCCTGCCAGAGTCCACTGCAGTGTAGTGAATTCCACAGATTCACAACCCTTTGAGAGAATTAATCAATCAGCTGTGCCTCAGCCTAAAACTATGACCCTCGTTCCAGGTTTTCCCACGTGAGGAAGCATCCTGTCTACGTCTACTTTGCCAATCCCTTTTAGCATCTTATATTCTTCAAGCACTGTCTCCCTCCATGTGGCTGCCTGACCAGCTGAGTTATAGCATCATAGTCATGCAGCATGGAAACAGACCCTTCCGTCCAACCAGTCCATAATCCCAAACTAAACTAGTCCCATTTGCCTGCTCCTGGCTCATATCCCTCCAAACCTTTCTTAATCATGTACTTTTCTAAGTGTTTTTTAAACATTGTAACCATACCTGTATCCCTTGGGAAGTTCATTCCACATGCAAACCACCCTCTATGTAAAAGAAAAACTGCCTCTTGTGCTTTTATTAAATCACTCTCGTCTTGCCTTAAAAATATGCCCCTTGGTCTTGAACTCCCCTGCCCTAGAGAAAAGACACCTACCATTAACCCTATCTATTCTCGGCCTCCTACGCTCCAGTGAAAAATGTGTTTTATCATCAAAAAGCTCGCCTGTCTTTTCAGTATCCAGTACGTTCAGCTTTTTTGCTTTGAGTGAAAGGTCAGGTGCTGCAATTGTGACTGTATCTTAAACCTTAAAAGTTTTTATTTTACTGTGAGGGGCTTTTCCGACAGTGCGTAGTCTAAACTGTGTCACCAAATATTTTGACTGAATGAGAGGGGTGTTGGGTACCTGGGTGCTTTGTCACTTGCAGCTACTGAGCTTTATCACTCGTTTTGCAGTTGAAACTGCCTCAGATTCAGAAGATCATGATGGAGTTTGAGAAGCAGTCAGAAATTATGGACATGAAAGAGGAAATGATGAATGATGCTATCGATGATGCCATGGGCGATGAAGACGATGAGGAAGAGAGGTTGGTGAAGGGTGTCTCAGGGGAATGAGGTCTGGAAAGTTAGGAACAGACCATTCAGCCCCTTGAGCCTATTCCAGCATTCACATTTCTGCTTTGAGTGTTTGGTGGGAGTTGTGTGTGTGTGAGAGACCACTCACCAACTGTGCCAGAATCCTGGAGCTATTGGGATTTGAACAATCTGGTTAAAGGGTTTAAGGTGATTCAAGGATTTGATACGCTAGGTGGGGAGAAAACATTTCCTCTGGTGTGTGGGTCTAGACCAAAGGGGAAACGCCTTAAGGTTTGAGCCAAGCTGATGTCAGGAAGTAGTGCTTCAAGCTGAGGGGATTGGAAATCCAGACTTCATGAAGTGTTGTCAGGTGTTAGATGTGATCATTTCCCCCCGACTCTCCTCTCTCTTTCTAGGAACAGAAAGCCAAACCCCAATCTTGAACTAATGACCTTCAGCCCCTCATTGGCTGACCTGTTTCTGGTTAATATGAAGAGAATATAGCAGTGTTTCTTTTGTTGGGCAGTGGACTGATTTCTGTTTTGCCTTTACAGCGATGCCATTGTCTCTCAAGTGCTAGATGAACTTGGTTTGAACCTGACTGACGAACTGTCCAGTAAGTATCTTAATAATCAGCAACAGAGATTGTGTTTTTCACATGTTGCTCGATAACACATTGGTGTAGCGTTATCGAGACAGCTTGTCTCGCAAGTGAACCGTTTCTGAGAAGATGCTGGTTTCCTGTGTTTGTGTGTTAAAGGATGTCACTGACAGAGTCATTGAGATTGTCTGAATCTCTGTGCATCATTTACTGACAGTAATACAGCAGTCTTGAAGGAGCAAATAACGTTTGCTCAGAGTTCCAGTGTGTCACTGGGTCTTTGAGGAGGAAAAGCTTGTATTTGCAGAACACTGTTCCTGGTCTTTGGATACCCCAAAGCCTTTTACGGTCAATGAAGTACATTTTTAAGGGTAACTCGCTGTTTTGACAGAAGAAATACAACAGTCAGTTTGTGCACAGCAAGCTTCCAGAAATGGATAGTTCATTTGATACTGGTGGAGAGCTACCAGGGAGAACTGCCCTTCTCAGAATAATTGTGCGTTCTTTTATATCCTCCTGAGGGGCCATTTGGCACCTCTGACAGCACAGCGCGTTCTCAGTATGTGCATTAATAGTATCAGCCTGAACTGTAGGCACAGCTGTCTGGAGGGTATCCTAAGCCCCACGAACTTCTGACGTCTCAGATGAGTGTATTATCTAACAAGTTGCCTGTGCTTTGACCTACCTCAATTCTTCAAATTTTAATCCTTGTCTTCATATCCCTCTGTAGTCTCATTCTTCCTTTTCTCTGTACTGTTCCTCCAGCCTCTCACTGTGGAGACATCTATACTTCTCTAATTCTTGCCTTTGTAAGCTTTAACATTGACAGCTCTGTCCTCAGCTGCCTGGGCCTTAAACCCCAGAATTCCCTCCTTGAATTCCCCTCCACTTTTCTTCCTTCCTTTAAAACCTTCCTTAAAACCTGCCACTTGAACAAGGTTTTGGTTATCTGCCCTTATCTTTCCTTACGTGTCTGTTAAGTATATTATTTTATATGACGATGGAACCACAGGCCAGCTGTAGCTCAGTGGGTAGCACTTTCGCCTCCCAACCACAAGGTTCAATCCTGGATTCAAGGCCCACTCCCAGGCTTTGAGCGCACAAAACAAAGGCTGTCACTCCAGTGCAGTACTGAGGGAGCTCTGTACTGTTAGGGGCGCTGTTTTGTGCAATTTAGCATGGCCGATCCACCTAGCCTACACTTCTTTGGACTGTGGGAGGAAACTGAAGCACCCAGGGAGAACTCGCGCAGAGATAATGGAGAGAATGTGCAAACTTCTCACAGACAGTTACCTGAGGCTGGAATGGAACCTGGGTCCTTGGCGCTGTGAGGCACCAGTGCTAACTATGTGGCCACCATGTCACTCCAAAATTGTCACTTCATTATTACTGCAGGGCTTGAACTGATCACCTTCAATCTGTCTCCATTCTTTACTGACCATTCATAGAATCCCTACAGTGCAGGAAGAGGCTATTCGGTCCAATTGAGTGCACTGACCCTCTGAAAAGCATCTGACCTAGATGCAGCACCCCCCCATCATATCCCTGTAACCCTCGAAGTTGAAGCCATTCTTGGTATGTTGATTGACTTGTCTAGAGCTTCTCGGAGGGAACGTGGTCTCCTGTCTGATTGCTCTGTCTCTCTAATAGCTTGCTTTGTAATTGCTCGCTCGCTCGCTCTCCCCACCCCCCCCCCCCCCCCAACAACCTGCCCCTCCATAACCCTTGTTTACCTTCTCCATGAATAAATGTAAAGATGCAGCTTCCGGGGAAAAGAATTCCTTAACCCTCTGAGAGAAGCATTCTCCTCAACTCCGTCTTAAAAAGGGGTCCGTTAGGGGAAATGTAGACGTTAGTCTGCGATGCAGGTACGAGTGGAGCAGAGGCAGAATGCGCTGCCAGTGAATTGCCTGGCTGGGCTCTCTACCCTGTTGTGTTTTCGAGGCACTGTGTGAATAAAGTCAACTCGGATGCGCCAAATGTGTTATGTCAGATCTCTCATTCTCCTGTTGTTCACTGACAGACCTTCCGAGCACTGGAGCGTCACTCAGTGTTGCTGCTGGGAAAAAAGCAGAGCCTGTGGTCCTGGAAGATGCAGACGCCGACTTGGAGAAACGGCTTAAAAACCTCCGTAAAGACTGAGGGAGTTGATGATTTTTCCTTTTCTTTGTGTTCATATTTTAAACTGGGGGTTGGGGTAGGAGGAATATTACCCACTCTATATAGAGAAATAGTGATTTAGTTATCTTTTTCATTTTGTTTTATGGAATGATTACCGAACTGTGCAGCTGGATTCTGCAGGATCTCCTCTACGCTGTGCCCGTGTCTGATAGCACAGAGTGGCAATGCTACTAACATAGCGAGCAAAACCCAGGCTGGTGATACAGGGCAACCTGCTGTTAAACGCAGTTAAGATCTTGTTTGCAAGCACTTTTTTTCTTCTTCTTCCTGCCCTCCTTTGTATTGTCTGTTGATGGCCCTCTGCCACTTGGGCGTTGATAACCACCAAATTGGCAGAGCATAAGGTTCTGACCTTTAACCCCACACAAGCCTTTTGCCCTAAGGGAGTATTTAAACTGGCACTGGAGGTAAATCAGAAGATAACATAATTGTGTACGTACATGGGATTGTCTTTAATTTTATTTGAGGCATGGCGCCACGATGTCCCTATCGGGAAGGGAATCTGATTCCCATGATGTTTTGCCAGGCCCTGTGGAAATGGCAAAGCTCCAGTGACTTACTGACAAACCGTGGGCTGCTTCACATCGCACTGATAAACCTTCTCGTCCATGGTGTAGATTTGGAGTTCCTGTTCTGCCCATGTGCTTCTAACGCCACAGTGAACCCTGAACCTCTGCTACTGCCGCCTGTGCCACAGAGCCTTCTCTCTTGAAGGTGGCGTTACCTGTCGAGGTGTGGTGAATCCAGGAGTACAGCTCCTACCAGCCGTAGCTTGATCAAATTGCTGGGCAGCAGTTGGGCACTCTTCCTCTCCCCCCCACCAACTACCCCCATACAATTTTTAAAAATGTTTATTTCTTAAGATTTGTATAAAGGTGTGTGCAGTAAGCCCAGAGCATGATTGTAGTCTGGTGCCGATCTGTCCATTGCTGTGCATCAGGTTGTTACTATTAGAGTTTATAGTGGGATGCACCAATGTAAACGTGTCACAGTAATTATATCCTCCTGTAATAGTGCCACCTTTGGTCAGATACAGTAGTTGCAGTATGACAGGTGGCGATTTCCAATGTTGGACTTGACATGGGAGTATTGACCATATAAATGGCAGGGTGGAATATTTGTCTTTGACTTTGGCCTGAATTATGCCTCTCTATCCTGGTCGAATTATGCCTCTCTATCCTGGTCGAATTATGCCCCGTTCTTAAACTGCACTTTCACCCATTTGGTTGTAACATCACAGCGGCTTGACTGGTATTGAATGGAAGAATGTCATGCCAAACCACCTGCAAGAATGATTTCCTTTCTTCATAATCGGTCAGCTGTGCAATTAGATCAGAGTGTCTGAGCTTGACTGTCTGTGAAATGCCGCCTTGTCATTATGCTAGAGCTGGGACTTCCTCTGTCTGTTGTTCAATACAACCACTGCCCCATCCCATGAGTGCTTGCTGTGAAAATTTGGGGGCCCCTACTCTCCACAGCAGAGAGACTGGCCTGAGCTCCCTGGAGTATGGGACTGCAGCAAATGCATTGCACCTTTTTATTATTGACTGACCAACTGAACAGGGTGTAATCCGAAGGAGTTGTTGCTGTCTGTGGCTAGTGTCAAGGAGTTGACTGGTCTCCTGGACACTTCCCTGAATCACCTCACCATACTGTGGAGTGCATTCTGTATTCCATTTGCCCTTTATACTTTTAAACCCTGCAAAAGCAGGTGGCATGAATGGGTTTCAGAGTAGCTAGTCCAGACTGTATGCTGTTTCAATGGGCAATATAACCTGCAGGCAGTGGTGTTGGGGAGGAAATATGCCATTTGGCTTCAGCTTTACCCTCAGTAAATTGACATTGAACTGAACCAGTTTAGGGGAAAGGTTGCTTGTCATGCCCCAGGACCCATAAAGCATTGGATGACCTCCCCTCTACACCTGCACAAGGCGTCAATTATAGCTGTATTTTAAGAGCTTGGACTGTAAAGTATTAATGGTTGATTGAGTGAATGAGAGCAGTACAATGCCACGCTCCCCTTCAGGTTGTACAGTAGAGTACCTAGGAGAGAGTTATGGGGCAAGGAGGCACTGTAGGAAGTCTGTAGCCAGTCACTGAAGCACATAGCCAATCCCTCAAATCTCAGCTAATGTGAAGAGGACAGTTACGTGCTGATGGGCCTCATACACTGAGTTGATTGTAATGTGTGGGAGTGCAACTGCTTCTAGTTATAACCCTGCATTTCTGTTTTAATAATGAAACCTCGCAAGATGCCTTCTGTGTAAACGGCTGCTATGATGCACTTTTTGTAAAACTCCATGTACTGTTAATAGTGCCAGTCGATATGACTGTATTATATTCACCTTTATCAGGAGCTGGAAGATGGGGCAAAGTGCACTACATTACTTTTCTTGCAGGGTGCTTTTCTACTGGGGAAGTTTTCTTTTTGTTTGTCTATGCACAATCCTATTTTTCTTTTGGTCACAATAAATTATGCAGTGTTTAGTCATTTCTGAAATTTTACCGAATCTCTCTTTGGATGTTACTCGTTTGAAATTATAATTAGGACCCAGAAAGTCCACTCTGCCACTGAAGAGGGCAGAATGAGAAATAGCATGGGAAGTGTAGGGCTCTGGGGAGTGATAGAGAACAAAGTGATCTATGGGTACAGGTTCATACTACTTGAAAGTGGGGCCACATGCAAGACAGGGTGGTGAGGAAGGCTTTCAGTTTGCTAGCTTTCATTGGTCAGAGCATTGAGTATTGGAGTTGGGGCATTTTGTTGCACCTGTACAAGACGTTGGTGAGGCCACATGTGGAATACTGCGTGCAGTTCTAGACGCCCTACCTTAAAAAGGATATTATTAAACTAGAAAGAGCGCAGAAAAGATTTACTAGGATACTACCTGGACTGGAAAGTCTAAGTTATAAGGAGAGGCTGGATAGGCTTTTTTTCCCTGGACCGTAGGAGACCGAGGGGTGACCTTATCGAGTTCTATTAAATCATGAAAGGCATAGATAAGGTAGATGGACATCAGCTTTTCTCCATGGTAGGGAAATCTAAAACTAGAGGGCGTAGGTTTATGGTGAGAAGGGAGAGATACAAAAGGGTCCAGAGAGGCAAATTTTTTTTTCACACAGAGGGTGGTGAGTGTCTGGAATGGGCTACCAGAGGTAATCGTGGAGGTGCCTACAATTTTGTCATCAAGAAACATTTGGACAGGCACATGGATGGGCTAGGAATGGAGTGATATGGACCAAACTCAGGCAAGTGAGACTAGTTTAGTTATGAAGACTGGTGTCATGGGCAAGTTGGGCCAACGGGCCCATTTCCATGCTGTAAACTTCTGTGTCTATATGGACTGGAAGAGGAGTGGGTGAACAGTATTGGGTTGGGTCTGAGAAGATAATAGCATTGGTGCAAATTAGAAAGTCACTGTACCTAAAAATAAATTGGTTCAATTGCCCGTGATATTTTGGAAGTTGCTGAACACAGCAAAGAAAGCTGTGGAGCAATATCAGATGAATATTGAATTAGTGGTGACCATTTTTCACTGCCTGGGCTGAGTGTGTGGCTTGGTCTCAGCTTAACTCTGTCTCAGCTCTGAATGAGGAGTGCTCAACCAGACAAACTGAGCAAGCATTGCACTGCACGAGCGATCTCCAAACGAGTTTTGGACGGAGGTAAAAAACCTGTCCTGGCAATAGTTGAAGCAGAAATGGAGGCTGAGAACAGAAGAGGAAGACAGTGAGTTAAATGGGTGACTAATATTGTGATGGGGCCTGCAGGAAGTTCAAAGAATGTCAGAGAGGAGGCAGTATGGTGCCAATAGTCCCACTCAGACGATGGTGAAAACGAACAAAAAGATCTCTGCACTTTGGCAGAAGAGCTCATTAATCACGATCAGCACAATGCACCAGCAATGTTAAAAGTTGTAGAGGTACTCATCTGCCTGTGAGCGTGGAGTGGTGGCCCCCAGACCCTGAGGATTAGGTTTTGATGAAAGGTTGCGAAGTTAGGGAGGCAATGAGAATCTGGAATATTCTGCCCAGATTTAGGAGATCTGTATTTGAAGAAGGAAGTAAACACTTTTAAGGAGAGTAGTAAGATGTGAGACAGTGTAAAGTTTTCTGACAATAGTTATGGGGATGAGGGACTTCACGTAGATTGATATAACTAGGATGTTCTCCTTAAGAGGAAACTGGAAGGTGATTTGATCGAATAGGGTAGCACGGTGGCTCAGTGGTTAGTACTGCTGCCTCAGTGCCAGGGACCTGGGTTTGATTCAAACCATGGGCGACTGTCTGTGTGGAGTTTGCACGTTCTCCCTGTCTCAGCGTGAATTTCCTCCCACTGTCCAAAGATGTGCAGGCTAGGTGCATTAGCCATGGGAAATACAGGGATAGGGTAATGGGGGGGTGGGGTTTGTAGGTTCGAGGGTTGGTGTGGATGCGATCTGCCAAATGACCTGCAGGGATTCTGACTCTGAAATGTTCCAAATCACCAGGAATTGGGCCTAATGCAATGTTGCCATTAATGAAAGGGTGGTTGTCTGAAGAACGAAAGGTAGCAAGAAGAAAACCTCTTCATGCTCATCACCTGAGCAGTTGCGAATGGGCAACAACTGCCTTGCCAGCAATAGCCATGTCCTATTGGGGGAAGAAAAATTAAAATAAAACACAGCAAGCCATCTGGAATCTACAGAATAGAATCTGCAGTGTGGAAACAGGCCATTTGGCCCAACAAGTCCACACCGACCCTCTGCAAAACATCCCACCCACCTATCCTATCCCTGCATTTTCCATGACTAATGCACCTAACCTACACATCCCTGAACATCATTGGTAATATAGCATAGCCAAATCCACCTAAACTGCTCACCTTTGGACTATGGGAGGAAACCAGAGCACCCGGAAAAAAACCCACGCCGAGAACGTGCAAACTCCAGCCAGTTGCCTGAGGCTGGAATCAGACTGGGGTCCCTGGTGCTGTAAGGCAGCAGTGCTAACCACTGGGCTACCGTGATGCCTGATATTCCATGTTTGTGCAGTGAAATGTGTTATAATCGTGGTTAATGAAACTGGATTGCACAGGCACCAGTAAAAGGAAAGAAATTGCAGATCTACGGGGAAAGGACGAAGGGAGCTGAAATGATTGCAGAAGGCCAGCTCAGATATTCAGGCTGAACGGCAAGCTCCTGTTGCTGTTCGATGTCCCTAGCCTGGACTGGGGTTGGGCTGAGAGTAGGAGGGGCTAGTCTGTTGCCAAGTGAATCCGCTTCCCCTGCATTTATCCTGCTCCTAAAAATAAAATTTCAGTTGCTTGAGACCTGCATGACACAACAGCATTCATCCCAGAATTAAACAGCCCTTACTGCAGTGTTTTAATACTTTTATAACATTAAAAATTATTTACCCAAGCAATGTTAGTTCACAACAAAACAAGAGTAGTGGCTGATTGTTCGAGTCCAGGCCAGAGCCAATACTGATTGGCAGAGACTTCATCAGAGGTTCTGTAAAGAATGGTGATTGGTCAGCATCCTCAGTGGATCTCCTTGTTGCACATTTGCTGAATCTTCAAGTCATGATGGTCGGTCAAGATGTCTCTATTGGAGGAGGAGCTGAAAGACAAGGAGCAGGAGGAGATGTGTGAAACTGATGCATAGGGGAGACCCCATGTCGGAGTAGGAGAAGGGTCAACTGCTGGGGGCTGGTCTTGTGCACGTTTGGTATTTCTCCAGCTTCAGGCACTTGCTATTCTCTGGGCTGCTGTGATGTCTGGCTTGTTTTGAGGAGGGAGAAAATTGAGGAATTTTTGTTTTCCTCAACTTCTGATTTTACTTATTTCAACATTTTCTCCCATATTCTCTGCTACTTTCCATTTGGAATGCTGATGTGGGGAGGGCCTTAAGGATGTTACAGCTCTCACAGTGAACCATGCTGACTCAGGGCTCATGTCCTACAGGTAGGCCCGAAGCGGAAACATGATCTACCCCTGTAGTTATTTTTCATGTAGTTGTTGTGAAGGCCTTACAGATATTGATTCCAGGGATGAAGCGCCCCAATTATATCTTGAAATCTGAGAAGCTGGGGTTGTTTTGCATTGGAAAGAAAGAGTTGAATAGACATTAGGTAGAGGCAGACAGGATCATGTAGGCACTAGACAGAGGAGATCGAGAGGAATAATTCCCGTTGATGGTAGGATTGAGAAGTAGAGGGTATGTGTGAGGTGGTTGACAAAAGTACTGAATGCAATGATTTTCGATTTAACCTATTTTTCTAATCAACGTGTTCAGAAGTGTTATTAAACATCTCTGGAGCACGTGGGACTTGAACCTGGGTCTCCTGGTACAGGGTAGGGATGTTACCAATGGGTGATTAGGCCCTATACCAATGGGTGATTAGGACTTAGAATTCGCTGTCTGGAAAAGTGGTGGAGGCAGATTTATTCACAGCTGGCGAAGGGAAATGGATCAGCACCAAAGAGATTAGTGAGAAAAACAAAGGAGTGAAACTAGTTAAATTGTTCGAACAGTTGGCACAGACTTGATGGGCTGAATGACCTGTTTCCGTGCAGTGACTGTCCTATTCAATGTTAAGAGCCTGTTGCATCACACTTTATCTTGGCTGGTTTAGAGTTCAAAGCCTCTTAAAAATTCCATGAGTGTTGGCATGATTTGGTTGCTTCACTAGGAGGGGAGAGCTGTATGGTTCAGGGCAGGAGGTGGTTGTGTATTCTGGCCCACTGGCGTAGATTAGTGTACAAACATGCCTTAGTTCATGCATAGAAATGGAAATTCAAGAAGTGGTTATGAAGATTCAAGTGGAAATTGGAATTATGAAGATTCAATTGTTTATCATTTAAAAATTGATTTTTGGAAAACTGCGTTCAATTCTGGTCTCCCTGCTATGGGAAAGCTGTTGTTAAACTTGAAAGGGTTCAGAAAAGATTTACAAGGATGTTGCTGAGGTTAGAGAGTGTGAGCTATAGGGAGAGGCTGAATAGACCAGGGCTATTTCCATTGGAGGCAGAGGGGTGACCTTATACAGGTTTATAAAATGGATAGTTTAAATAGTCAAGGTCTTTTATCCAGGGTAGGGGACTCCATAATTAGAGGGCATAAGTTTAAGGTGAGCAGGAAAGATTTAAAAAGGGACCTAAGAGGTAACATTTTCACACAGAGAGTGGTGCGTGTATGGAATGAGCTGCCAGAGGAAGTGGTGGAGGCTGGTACAATTACAACATTTAAAAGGCATCTGGATGGGTACATGAATAGGAATGGTTTAGAGGTTTATGGGCCAAATGCTGGCAAATGGGACTAGATTAATTTAGGATATCTGGTTGGCATGGACGAGTTGGACTAATGGGTCTGGTTTCCTTGCTGTACATCTCTATGACTCGATGAATCTTTGAATAACGACAACGACTGAAGTTTTAAGTTGTTACTGGGGGCAGAGAAACACTCGCCTTGTTTAAGATTCCTGTTGTAGCTCTCAGAGCAAGATACT